AGGAGAACATTTGGTGGAGGTGAGGAGAACATGGGGAGGGGAGGGAGTAAGAAGAACATAGGAGGGGGAGTGAAAATAACACAGGGAGGGGGGGAGTGAGAATAACACAGGGAGAGGGGGTTAGGAGAAGGGGAGGTGAGGAGAACACAGGGAGGGTGGTAAGAAGAACACAGCGAGGGGGGGAGTGAAAATAACACTGGGAGAGGGGGTGAGGAGTACACAGGGGGGAGGTGAGAAGACACAGGGAGGGGGGAGGTGAGAAGAACACAGGGAGGGTGGGGGGTGAGAAGAACACGGGAGAGGGGGTGAGGAGAAGGGGAGATGAGGAGAACACAGGGAGGGGGAGGTGAGGAGAACACAGAGGGTGGGGGTGTGAGAAGAACATAGGGAGGGTGGGTGTGAGAAGAACACAGGGAGGGTGTGTGTGTGAAAAGAGACCACTGGGGGAGGGTGGGGGGAAAGGAGAGACCACTAAGGGTCAGGGGAGAGCTCTAAGAGACAGAAGGGAGAGCTCTATAGGACAGGGGGCAGGACAGGGAGCTCTTTCACACTACGCGCACACACACACAATGCATCCCTAAACATACACAGAAACACGCAATGCATCCCTTACACACATGCAAACACACACACTGCTTCTCTTACATACACACAGAAACACAATGCATTTCTTAAGCACACTCAATGCACACACTTACAGACACACACCTTGCATCCCTTATGCATACAAACACAGATTCACACAATGGATCCCTTACACACAACCAGAAACACACAATACATCCCTTATACACAAACACACACTGCTTCCACTACACACAAACACACTGCATCACCTACACAAACTGGTATGCCTGTACACTACATACCATAAGTACACACATTAGATCCTTTACAATAACACATAACACATCCCCTACACACTGCACTCCCTGTAAGCGAACTCATGGGTGGAACATATAGGTGGACTTATGGGTGGGCCTTATGGGCATACTCACCGTCAGGCCCTGGGCCCCAGACCTTGAGCTGTGTTAGAGGCCTCAAAAAATGGTGCTGCTTCCTGTTCTCCCAGAACATTGAATTTTGTGACCGCAGTTACAAACAGCTTCCAGAGATCCGGTTCTACACCAGACCAGTGGAGCCAAACTGCAGCCAGAGCCCATCACCATCCTCATCTGGTTGTAAGTAGGCAGTCTAGTATATTATTAGTGACACTAATCTCACATTAAAGGGACACTATAGTCCCCAGAACCACTGCAGCTTAATGAAGTGGTTCCGGTGTCGTTAGCCAGTCCCTGCATGTTTTTTAATGTAAACACAGTGTGAAGCACTGGCGTTAGTTCATATGGCAGATCATATGGGTGGAGCATTGTGCCTAGGGCAGCAAAAATCCTTGCACCGGCCCTGACTATGCCCCCCCATCAAACATGATTTGTAGTAAGGTTGGACATCCACCACTACCACCCCTAACTCTGCTTACTTAAGGGTGATAATTAAGGTACTGCTACTACTGCTGTTGTTCCCTCTTTAAAAAAAAAATATGCCTGTAACTGTAGTGGTTTCCCTCTGTTTTATGTTTGTTTTGAGAAACTGGTTGCATCATGGTGAATTTACTACTACTGTAATGTTTTAATGATGGACTACACTGCACACAGCAAACAGCAGTGCACAGTGCTTCGATGTTTAAATCATACTTCTAGTATTAATAGTGTCAGCAACACTATTACTACCACTCAGTGTAGGTAGGGGCTCACCTGCCTCTCTATCCTTTGTTGATCTTCAATTTTCCCTCAACCCAAGACACTCTGAAAGCAAAGGTGGTGGTGTAGGGTTTCTGCTCTCGCCTCATTGATCCTTCAAACCTCTACCCACCCCCCATTCCCTCTCTTTCTTCTCATTTGAATTTCATAAAATTTGCTTTTTCAAACCCATCTCTGCTAACAGTGTCATTATGTATTGTCGCCCTGGTTCCCCTCTCCTCTTCCTTGACCACTTTGCTGCTTGGCTTCCCTACTTCCTCTCCTCTAATATTACATCCCTAATTCTTGGGGACTTCAACATTCCCATTAACCTACCCTTGTCCTCAGTAGCCTCAAAACTGCTTTCCATGACATCCTCCCTTGGGCTATCACAATGGTGTAAGTCCCCAACCCATCTAGCTGGCAGTACCCTTGAACATATTTTTTCTCATGAATGTACAATCTCTAATCTCTGCAACACTCCATTTCCTCTTTCAGATCACCACCTCTTATCATTTACTCTCAATAGTCACCTACCCCATCGTCCTCTACCTAACCTCCTTCAACTAAGAAGAAATCTGAATCATATTGACCTCCAGCAGCTATCAGCTAATATTGATTCCCAACTTCTATCCATCCCTACTTCCTCCTGTAGCTCACTGGCTATCTCCTCATATAACACTACCCTTACCTCTGCCCTGGGTGCTGCAGTCCCACTCAAAACATGCACATTGAGGAGAACACGCCCCCAACCATGGTTCACTAAATCAACAAACTACCTGCAGAGATGTTCCTGTTCTGCTGAATGCTGCTGGAGGAAGTCACGCACCCAGTCTGACTTCCTCCACTACAAATTCATGTTGCATTCATACAGCACAGTTGGAGTCTCCCAAGGCTCTGTACTTGGTCCCCTTCTATCTTCTCTTTATACTACCTCTCTTGGCAAACTTATTACCTCATTCGGATTCCAATACTACCTGTACACTGATGACACTCAGATATACCACTCCCCTGCTGTCCTACAACATGTCACTGCTTGCCTTTCTTCCATCTCTGATTGCATGTCCTCCCGCTTTTTGAAACTCAACCCTCCTAATACTGATCCCCATCTTTCATTTTCCATTCAAGTGAATGGTACTCACATCAGTCCATCCTTGAAAGCACTCTGTCTTGGCGTTATACTTGATTCTGGTATCACATTTGCGCCTCACATCCAGTCTGTTACCTAATCCTGTAGAGTGCACCATTAAAACATAGCCCGCATCCGCCCCTTTCTTAGGCAAGATACTATTAAGGAGCTTGTCCATGCTCTAGCAATCTCTTACATGGATCACATGGATTGCTCTAGCAATCTTCCCACAAGTCGTATTGCCCAATTACACTCTGTAATGAATGCTACAGCTAGACTGATTTTCCTCTCCTGTCGCTTCTCTCACACCTCTCCCCTCTGTCAGTCCTTACATTGGCTTTCTGTATCCTACAGGAGTCAATTCAAGCTACTAATCCACACTTATAAAGCACTGACACATGCTAGCCCCTCCTATATTTCTTCACTGATCTGCCCATGACCTTCTCCTGTCTGCTGCTCGCACCCATACGGCCAACTCACACTTGCAGGACTTCTCGCGGGTGCCTCCTTTCCTTTGGAATTGCCAGCCTACAACCATCAAGTTCTCCCCTAGTCTTCAATCATTTAAAAAGTGCCTCAAAACCCATCTCTTTAGGAAAGCTTATGGCCTACCAGAGAAACCTTTACCTCACATACCCGTCCCTCGCTCTCTCCTAAAGTGCAGCACTCTACTCTCTCCTCCAGCTCTGCTTCACCCCACCTTGCGTGATTGCTACCATCTGTCCTGTTGGGTTTTACGCCCCACCTCCTATAGACTGTAAGCTCATTTGAGCAGGGTCCTCTTCAACCTATTGTTCCTGTAAGTTTTTGTAATTGTCTAATTTATTGTTAAATCTCCCCCTTTGATAATATTGTAAAGTGCTAAGGAATATGCTGGCGCTATATAAATACCAGTAATAATAATAATATTAATAATAATAATAATCTGTGCAGTAAACTGCAGCCACACACTGTGTTGCAACTTGCAAAGAAGAAGCAGTGGCACACAGTATAAAGAAAATAAAATCACAGTGTGGAAAATAATAGAGCATTATCAGCTTCTATCAAGTCCATATGCAGAGGTAGCAGGCATAGCCACACCACGAGATTCAGTATTAGCAGCATTCACTTGTGCAGTAAGCTGCTACATGCTGTGGTTATATCCACAATTAATATCAGGATTTGCACTCAACAATCAAACCAAATAATTTAAAAAATATGGTGCCAAATAAGCTAGGAGGATTACTGGACCCTAATAATGGCAGTTGTCCAGTGGCCCCAACGAGCATAGGGGCCTCACCGCATTGGCCTATGCCGACTGGGGAGATTGTTTCTCATTAAGACAAAGACCTCCTTCACAGGCTTAAATGCACTTCGTTAGGGGAGGTGGAGGGAAAGCAGACCAGGGAGGCTGTGTGTTCCTCCCATGAGCAGGCATTTTGGAACGTTGCCGCAAGTTACTGTGGCAGCACTCTAACATAGCAATAAGCTCACGGGAGAAGAAGAGAGAAGTCATTCTGCAGCCACAGGAGCTGCAGGCTAAAGTTCATTCACAACCACTGGACCACCAGAATTTGCAAAGTCGTCTTCCCCCCGTCAAAGGTAATAAGAGGGGGACAAAAAGTTTTTTTTTAAATATATATACATATTCTCCCTTGCCAGCCCCCCCCCACAACACAATATAGACCCCATCTACTCCTACACAAACTTTTCCTTAAATCTGTATCTATGTGATGCACAGGGACCAAAAAAGAGAATGCAATAAATAATACGGCAAAAACATTTATATTTGTAGCAGACTCATGCCCCTTTTTGTTCAGTTGTCCGTACCCCCCTTGTTCGTCTCCCGAATGGATGGTGTGTGGTCCCCTTTTTAACACTTCCTCGAACACTGACTTCCCCTGGTTGTTAACTGCAATCAAGTCATTAACTTGAGTGCTTTCCCTAGGTGACCGCCATTCGTATAACACGTGCTCCAGTGATTGGTGGCCATTTTGTCTCCCTAACACAGGCAGCGGTACATGGTCATCGAAAGCCTGGAACTATTTTCGGACACGCAATTCCACAAATCCGTTCACAGATTGTACCGCTGCCTGTCCCACTTCCCGACCAACTAGACGAACGACGCTCGGGTGATAGGAACTACCGACTTGGGGGAGCATTTGCTCCTTAATAGCCAGGGGGAGCGTTTGTCTGTGTTCACACAGGAATCCCCTATAGTAGACTTCTCTGGAACTGTTTTGGGCCATCACCTCTTGGTTGGCCGGTCAGAACTTTTCTTGAATGGCAATTCCATTCTACGGATCTGGGCGATATTTGGACAACTTGGGCGCTCAGATCCGGGCTATTCTGTGATATAAGACTTGTGGAGTTCCTGTAAAATATGACCATGTTTTTGTGGTGTTTTATGTATGTTCCATGTATTTCCCTGTAACTGAGAGATAATTAAGTTACTCAGTTTTGACTCTATTAACTCCCAGACAGAGGGACGCCTGGGAGGGGCTTGTTTATATTTTGGATGGAGGCCCCATGCTGGGGGTCTATGCATAAAAGACTGAGTTTGTGCTGAATAAATCAGTTGTACTCCCAGAACTGTGTGTCGTCCGGTTACTGGGAAGGGATTCGCTTCACAGCACCTTGTTCCAGAGATCCAGCAGAGGAAAAGTCATTTTCAGGACTAGTACTCCGCTACAATAGTTACCAAACTTTAATGGATTAATGCACACACATATAAAAAAGCAAACATATCACCAATAGCAGCTTCCATGTATATCCGCAGAGACTGCTGAAAGTAGGGTGAAAGTAAGCAGAAGATGAACCAATTTGTAAAATGATATTCCGAATGTGCTTCAGATTTTCATTGGTGGAAAAAAACTGCTTCAGTCCCCCCCACCCCAATGATCCCTTATATTTGTCCAAACGTCTCTCAGAACTCGTCTTGCAGCCAATAATATGTCCTCATATCCAATTTCCATTACATGACTAAGATATCTATTTGCTCGCATCAAAACAAACAAAAAAAAAATTGACTATTCTTCATTCCATCCCTCTTTTCTACTGGTGCTAGCAATGGCATTCTGAATCAGGAATACAAATTTGTATTTTTGTACATTGCACAAGTTTATTGTTCTGTGATTCTGGAAAGCAAAAGTTCGGAAATAAGAATTTCAGATGATCACCAGATCACCCCGAATTTGTACAAGTTGCATTTCAGAACAAAGTAAATCTCCAAATCTAAGACTTCGAGTTTTACCCCTTTCTTACATCTTATTTCCCAAATCACCCCTTAATGAATTAGGGCAGGAGTGAGGATAGCTGAACTTACTTTCACCCAATCACTCAACAAATTTAGCATGCTTTTCTGAAATTGTTTACCTTCATAGAATTCAGTACATAGAAAAGTACTAGACATCTGAACAAGAAGTGCAAAAGATTTTTTGACATAATCATATAGAAGAATGTCAGAGTGTACCATGGGTTTACACCAAGTACAAAGTTTTCTATTTTAAAAACCTGGATTGAACACCACTGTAACAGAATGCACATGCCCTCTGACACAGTCCTCTGACTTTCTCCACTCTGTTGTGATTAACTTTAGTTTTAATGGAATTGAAAAGCAGTCCAGTGTACTAAGAATTAGAGATAGACATTTGTAATCTACAGTAAGATTTCTTTTTTATAGTTATAAAAGCTATTATTCTTTTTATCCCACTTGAATTGTGAGTTGAAATGTCCATCTCAGGGCATGGAAAAAGTTCTATATTGTGCTTAGAAATGCGGGGAATGCAGCAAGCCTGAAGGAGGATTCAGAGACTGAGATGAGGCATTTCCCAGTGGATTTGGGAGTAGCTAACTTTTATTAGAACAGTCACTTGTTTGTTTCAGCTATATGTTTATTTCATTCCCCTTTCAGTTAATAATCCATCTAATCTAAAATAGCAAGCCTGGTTTACAAATTGTAAAAAACAAAAAGCTTGTATATTTCATATTATATATATATTTTATATATTTATATATATATGCCTAGCCTCTGGTAAGTCTATAATGTACTCTTTTTTTCTTCCTCAATAGCATTAGCCCTATCTGCCTAAGGTCTAATTAAATGGACAACCAGACCACCATATATCATTGAAGTGGTTTAGGTGCACTGTCTCTGCACTCCCCCATCTCCCTCCCCCACCCCCCTTAATCCTGCAATGTAAAACATTGCAGTTTTAGAGAATCTGCAATTTTACAGTACTAGACTGCCTCTAGTGGTTGTCTACCACACAGCTACAAGGGGTGATTCCTGGAATTTCATGTTTTTTTAATCTTTGAAACAACGCTGTACACGCTCATACTCTGCATATGGACATCCAGCGTGAAGGAAAAAAAACCCTGCTGTCCGATAAGGAAGGCCTAATGTTTGCTGCACAAGCGCGTTTTTATTCCCCTTCATTGGCTGAATGTGACTCAGCGCTGAAGTACATTGGCGCTGGAACTATGTAATTGAATAAAGGGATATTTAACCATTTATATCGCCAGGGACTGGGAGCAGGGGCTGTGGATTAGTGAAATAATACATATTTGTATTCCTAACACTAAAGTTAAACTATTAAACTATATAATTAATACATATACAATACCATGGAGGTAAGTACAAAGAAAACATGAGAAAATAGCACACATTTTTACAGACAACCCTGTGCTGCTTATTACTACCAGTTTGAACAGCTCATACTGAGGATTGCATGATGTATGGTCAGTAGCTGATTGCCCGCCATCTTTAGAGTGCTCAGTGCTTGGCTCTGTAACTAAAATCTGAGACACTCATATTGTGGCTAATTGGAAAGTTGTATTGCTCTACACTGCCGGCTGGGGTTGTGATTCTGAGTTAGCTGATTCTGTCCACACTGTAGGTTGTTGATGTGAAACTGTAAGTGAGCAGATTTGACAATCAGCTGAATCTTAGCAACTTATTGCATTCATATTACCATTGCAGATTGATCATATTGACATCTGCAGAGGTAATAAGGATTCTTTTTAGTATCTTGCTACTTCTATACTGTGAAGACTCTGGCTCTGCACTGATATCATTTCAGTAACTGTCTAGCTCTGATTTGTTTTCACAGTAGTATAATCAATCTACAGTAAAATGCGTGTGCTAAAAAGTTACTGAAATTAAATGATATAAGTGCAGAGTCAACTTACAGTTTACTTATAGCCTCCTTATTAGCCCGGCATCTGTCAACATGATCAATCTACAGTACGTGATAATAGTGAGTGAGGAGTATCTGACATGTTTCATAACAACATTAGATGTGCCATTCTTTCCATTCCAAATGGAATTTCGGCTACATTTGGCAATTTAGAAGTGTCAGAGTTACCAAATTCTTTATAAACTGAAACAAACCAACAACAAAAGAAATTGGAACAAATCAAAACAAAGTATAGTGGATCCATTCATTTTGATAAAAATAAGCAAATAAGGGACTTACGATAAAGCAACTGCAAGAGCAAAATTAAGTTAAAGGGTTTTTCTTTAGTAGAATTAATTTGGTATCCTTACATGGTATTGCCATACTTAAGGGTACCAAATTAGGGTCTTATCTACTAAGCAATTGAAAGAGTAAAATTAAGAAAACAGCTTTTATTAATTCTGCCCTTTTAGAATTTTAGTAGTTATGTCCCTAATTAGGTATTCCTACATTGGATTGTTATAGTTAAAGGTACCAACTTGGGGACATATTTACTAAGAAAGCAAAAGAGCAAAATTAAGAAAAGGGCTTTTCTTAGTTTTGAACTTTCAGATGTCTAGTTGATAGCTCCCTAATTTGGTATACTGTATATGTCACATACATTCTATATACACACATCACATGATATGTACATACAGCCTATTCATTCTATATACATGCAGCATATGCATATATATAGAGATAGTTTGACAAATTATTATACTAGTGACAACATATAATGCAACAGAATACACAAAATATCTTGTGGCAAATATATGTTGAATTTTGCAACATGGTGGTAATAATATGCTGTATAATTGCCTGGGGAAGTTATAGCATAACTGAGAGCATTATCGAATATATGTCTCATAGAGGACTGCATCATACATTAGGAAAATAAAAATTAATTCAAACTATTATATACCAAAAAAATCTATTTAAGTATTGTTTTCTGATCTCAAACTCAGCTGTTCATTTGCTCCCACCCAAATAACAGTCATTATTCCATTACATTTTTCTATTGCTAGGAACGGCACTCCAAATCACAAATGAAAACAAGCATGTTCAGGCTTACGCAAGTTGGTTTTCCTAAATTCCACAAGACTAGGCTACCAATATACAGTTGTTGGCTTTGCCTTAGCCATGAGGACTGCTGACACTGCTTCCACTGCTGCCTCCAGCACCACTCCTCCTACCACCACTATTAGTAGTAATTAGCCTCCAGATGGTGAGATTAGCAGCACATCCATTAATATCATTCACTACCCAGTAGACAATTGGATGTTTTTCATGATGTAATACTTCTGATGCCACTTCAAGTGTTACAGCTTCTGTGTTTTATGAAGCTATGAGCCATGGATCAGTGAAACCAGTGGACTTGCTGCCATTGCCTGTAACCTGCTATTTCTTGCAGCCACCCCAAGAAGCAACTTAGAGAAAACTCAGAAGAGACTTTGTTGGTGCCAAAAGGCCATGCTCTACTGAAAAGGTGGAGTAAATTATTCAGTTAGTATCCCCAATGTATGGTCTTGGTGGTTGTGAGGAATCTAGTGAGGATGATACCACTCTTTATTCCACCACTCCAGACATTTAAGTCTGTCACAGGGGAAATAAACTATGAAACAGATGAATTACAGAGGAGAGAATAGAGGCAGAAGTCCACTATATTTTGCATCTACTGTGCACTTATCACTTGTCCATCTCTAACTGCAGTAGAATTGCTTTATTTAATGGAAAAAATGGAGAATCATCTCCTATCAGTTCCAGAAATAGCTCACCCAGTGAGATTTTAATCCACACCACCACCTCCTTTCCCATTAGCATTAGTCAACCATGTGTTAATATAGAGGTTAGAGTTGTGTCAGCTTTTGAAGATGCAAATCCATGCTTAGATCATCTTCCTTGAGCTGCATTGGACAGTCTGCAATTGGATAGCCACAGAATGTATGGGCTGGGGAAAATGGTGAGTGGCTTTCTAAGGCTGCAGATAAAAGATGTGCAGCTTGTTCAAGGTATTTTTAGATATACCCCCAATGAAAAAAAGCATCATTAAAGGCAAGTATGTATGCTTCAACTGGGTGTATATCTGATAAACAGTGATTTTTTATTTTTATTGATTTTTTTAATTTTTATTTGGTCAGTATAGCATCCAATTAAATATAAGTAGTTTATTGATATAGTGCAAACACATGCAGCTGTAACAGTGTGGCTCTATTCTTGCTGAGTTATGTTATGTAGATATAAAGAGAGTATCCCGCTGGGTCGGTAGGAATTATGAAGGACAAACATGAATTGCATTTTGAATGTTGAAGAATCTGATGATAGTAATCAGATTTGCAGCAAAGTTCAGAAAAAGGTCTGGAGATCTAGCAATGAGAAAAATATTTTGTAACAGCAAACACACCCTGAACATTTGTGTTGGTACAGAAATGCTTTGAATGCAGCACATTCTGGAATATTAAAGCCCAATCAAATCTATGCCTAGAACTAGATGACTGTGATTTCAACTGCTTGTCACTTATAGGATATTTAAACAGAATAAAACATCCACATGGTTTCTAATTCTTTTTAGAAGACCACATGCTTAAAGGGACACTATAGGCACCAAGATCACTTCAGCTCATTGAAGTAGTCTGGATGCACTGTCCCCGGTACCTTAACCCTGTAGTGGTAATTATTGCAGTTTCTAATAAACTGCAATAAATATCTATCAGGGATAACTCCACCTCTAGTGGCTGTCTACCAGACAGTCACTACAGGAACTACCAGGTCGTTGTTACTATGCATGAGGACATCCAGCATCAACCGAAATCCCATAGGGAAACATTGTATAATCCTTTCCTTTGGGTGAAGTCCTAATGCGAGCGCGGCGATTGCTGCCCATGCGTATTAAGTATCCCTCGCCAGATGACATCAGTAGGTGACGAGCGGAGGTGGAGCCTTAATCAGGACTGAGGGACATCAGTGCTGGAGTCAGGTAGGTAACAGAAGGTGGGACGGTGCAAGGGGGCACTATATCGAGCTTTAGTGCCAGGAAAAGAACTTTGTATTCCTGGCACTAAAGTTTCACTTTAATTTGTTTATCTTATCTGTTAATATGTCTTCTCAGGTTCAGTCAGCTCAACTTTGCTTAGTCTGCATTGTACAATGTTCCTTTTGTTTGTACTCTGAATGCCCTATATAATGAGATTGAAAGGCTAACACTTTATTTTCTACCAGATTGCTCTTAGTCCTGTGCCAATTTTGTAGTTTATAGACTTTCCCATTTCCACATATCTCTAATCTCCTTTTCTTGTGATCTGATGATAAACAAAAACCTAGCCAATAACAATGTTCTTGAGGAATAACTCATGTGTGGATTTCCCTAATGCCTTTATTACTTCCACACAACTGGCAATGTATTATAGTTAATTGAAGTTTGGTAGCTCATATCCTGCAATGCATAGTAACTTTAATAGTGGCATCTTCAAATCCTTTTCACTTCAGAAGTCAAACTAAAAATACAATTTAGCTTCTATTCTAGTTGAGACAGTTAACTTTCTATTATGCCATCTTTTTAATTGTTTGAAAATATGTCAAAATCTGCATAAAGCCTCAGATTCTGTATAATTTGCATTTCATTATGAAGTCCCTATTGCATTAGGCATTTTATGTAATAGAGTAGGGAAATGTATGGGGATAGTATAAATAATAGGAAAGTGCCTTTGTCAAAAGAACACCAGATTGCTTTACCCAGAACATAAGTAATGAACTGCACTCCAAAGGATAAAAGAAAATGCCGGTGCTAAGATGATTCAAATATTAAGTATTCTTTAATCGTGTTTGCCATGTGCCCTATGTTAACAGATGCTGACTTAAGTTTTTTATATCTGGTCTTCTGTTCTGCTATTCATGTTGTCTTTTCATGTTAAATGTTTTTGATTGCTAAAAATGGTAATGTGTGTATGCTTTGTACAAAATGCAATAAACAATGTTTTTTATTACTATTATATATAACTTGAATAAATAACATTTAATGTATTGTCAATACGTTGTGACAATATCTGTTCTTGAAAGGGTGAAAAACTCTCGATGTGTATTACGGTATACCATTTATTTTTAAAATCCAAAAAATATAGGGCTATGTTTACCTGAGACTTTGCTCACTAAATGGCAGTATTTTCAGTTGTGTTTCACATTCACACTGGTTGTGCACATTTTTGCATATCTCCCAACACTGGGAAATATGCAGTTGAGATAGGTAGGCAGGGCTGTCTGGGAAGCAGATGTGTCCATCCACTGAAGACCTGTGTCAGCGTGGAATCAAGGCTGACTGACAACTTCACTGACCAGGCTCCAAAATACAGGGCTATGCATAGTACTCCCTGCATGATCTTAGTGCCTGCAGGACAATGTAGGTGTGTCTAATGATGTGCTCCTGTTTTGCTACCCAGGGGCAGTTCCCTTAAATCCTCAGATGCGGAACGCCAATGAACTGAATCGTGACAGGACACAAAATAGTTCAAATAAATTAGGTCCAGGAACTCAGGATTGCTACAGGAAGGCAGGTTTATTGGAACAAAAAATGCAACAGTTCTGCCTACACAGAGACCTTTTTCAAGGACACAAAATAGTGAAAGTTTCACAGAAAGTGGGACAGTTGGGAGCCCTGTTTTTGTTTAAAATTCATTAAATGGTTGCATACATCACCAAGATCTGTAGAGAAGTTGCTGAGATAATTCAGTCTACCCTGTTACAACTGAAATCATATGAATAAACAGCCATTCTTATTAAATCCATGTAAGTTTATCTCTAGTACGTTTCCATGTTAAATTATATGTAATTGTACATTGGCAAAGTATAACTAGAACCTAAGAAAACTATAACTTTTGATTACTTACTTTGTTACTGTGTTACAACTGAGATCATTTAAAAAAACAGCTATTCTTAAATCCATCTAAGGCAATTTCTAGTACATTCCCATCTAAAATTATATGTGACAGTACATTGGCAAAGTAAAACTAGAAAAATATAACTTTTGATTACTTACTTTTACTAACGTTTACTATAGACTAATGTATTTGTGTGTGTGAAGGTGTGTGGGATATATATACATATATATAGATATATATATATATATATATATATATTTTTTTTTTTTTTTTTTTTTAAGAAAAGAGTGTGATCATCAAAATCAATGGAATTGTCAGACACACCCCTGAATTTTCCATGACGAATGTTACGGTTTTAGACCTCTATTTATGGCTTTTCTGTTTTCTGTTCATTTTTATAGATATCTTCATATGCAACAATAACATTTTTAGTTATTTTAATCATAACCTTTACAATCTAGGATATTTAAAGAGTAATTTATGATGTTCGAATAAAATAAGAGATACACAACTTTTACACACATGTGATCTAAGTCAAAACCAGAGCCAGCAGAACTGTTATTGGACATAATGCATTGCATAGCATTACACGCTGCTCCTCGTTTCTCTGTTTTCTGTTAAGTAGTTCTTCAGAAACATAACATTTACAGTTTTATTGTGCATAAGTGCTAGGTGGCATAAATTGGTGATACAGGGGACATTAGTATGGCATAAAATCAGGTCACAGACATGTCAGCAGCATTTGAAATGAAGTTGTGTGCAGGTGTGAGTTTAATTAATCCAGCATGTACCTGTATATATTATATTATCTAAATGATGTAGCATGCAACATAAAATCATAATTAACAAAGTACACTATGTCCTTATTATTTCACATGATGACCTTTAAATAATTTAATTCAACCCTATATTAGTAAACATTTTATCATTTTAAAAACCTGTAATGCTCCATAATTGCACTGAAATCTAATTTGCTGCTCTTTATTTAAAAAATAAATGTAGTTTATTTCCCAAAATACAGATAGTGAGCCCCTTAAATGGACTGATTTCTCAGTTAAGTGTTGCATTTATATATTTTTTAACCATTGTAACTCTTCATGGAACTAAAATGTTAAGTGGCTCTCTCACATTAAGAAAGTCACTGTATGGTATAATTTTAACATCCAAAACATTTTGAAAACAGTTTTCCAAAAAAATAATTATGAACTGAAGAGGTAATGCAATTTGCTGAAAATAATGCTATTTTCATCTTTTTGCAGGCTATAGGACCAGATTTTTTATTAGGCAGAGTCCATAAAGGGATAACAGCACTTATACTTTTCCCTCCCCACTAGCATATTTACGCTTGAATAGGCTAGTGGGGGGAGAAAAGTACCAGGGGCCTTGGCCAGTGTCCTCTCTAGTCCAGTCAACATTAACAACAGAGGTAAAAAAATAAAGGATAGATCCTGGTTACCTCTAGAAAAGCTAAACCAATGTTGACAGCACTGGCAAGCAGACTGTGCAGATACACCAGAAAAGAGAATAAATTACTGTTGGCTACCTGCCCTGAGAGCAGACCATAACATGCTCCTTGAACAGGAACCAGCTGAAGATACCTAACAACAGGTAGCACATAGGAAGTTGGTTAGCACCAGGACCTGAGTTAGTTCACATGTACTGAATAAAGAACCTAATAATGCTGCATGAATGCTTAGCAGCACAATGAACTAGCAAGAGGCTTACATAAGGCAGAACAATCAGGGCTGGCCTTTGGGGTGTGTGAGCTGTGTAGCCGCACTGGGCACCATGGTAGCAGGAGTGCCATGCGGCCAACAAAGCTCGCACATGTACTGGTTGACAAGTATGAAGGATGTGAAGGTAACTGTCTGCCTGCACCTGTGTGTGTGTGACTGTCTGTAACTGTGTGTATGAAATTGTGAACATAGATGTATTCTTCCTATTTAAAAAGCAGCAACCCAGAGGGCATGACTTGTCAGGCATGGAAGATAGCCGCAGGATCTTGAACTCTGCACTATAGAGGCAACAAATTTGAATCTGACTTAAAAATATATATGGCTCATCTTAGCTGAACCACATCCAGGCAAACACTGAAAATACCCACTGACACTCACCATGGGAAGATTACAGGACTGTATATATGTTCTAGCTGATGGTCTCCATAGAATACATCTGTCTCCAACTGTAAATACAAACCATAACTTGATAACTGGTCATATTAATTGTTGTAACTTGTTGATTGTTTACGTTGTATCACTGAATTATAACCAACGGTCTCAATAACTTTGTTTGCGCTCTGGCAGTAGGCCCCGGACAACCCCACCACCTGATATAACAGTTCAACTTACAAACTTTGCCGGAGAGCATAGATACACCACCCACGCCCCCATGGGTTTACTGCCATAGCACTAGACAAGCTCATTGGGGACGCGTTTCCCAAGTGAGCCCACACCCCAGAGGCACACTACCCCTTTCTGCTGTCTCCACAACCTCCACCCTCACACTCAAAGAGGGAACCGGGCAACAAGAGATGATATACACCCGACAACCGGGACTTTGACTGTCCCAGTAATGCTCAACACCCAATGCAACACTTAGAACACATTACAGCATCACCCCCACTAACACTGCTCTCCCACGTGCCCCCTGTGGTGAACACCTATGGAGGCATGGGTGACTCCCTTCCCCCCTTTTTTCTTTCTTTTTTTCTCTTTTCCCTGCTCTCCCCTCACTTGTCTGTCCTTTCCCAGCTCCACCAACTCCCCCCCCTCCCTCAGCCTCCCCTTCTGTCTCTCATTTCTCCCTTACCTTCACCTGCTTCCACTCGGACACACAATGCACGTCTACCTGCCACAGTATGGTGACCCCCCCAGCCCTGCCTTCCTAGAGACAGATACTAGAGACAGCCTCAAACAGCCCTCAGAGATATCGATACTTTTTCCGCAGACGTCCCATTCCAAAAAGAAGAGGAAATCACGGACCCGGGAGGCATGTACCTCTTCCTGAAGGGCACAAAACCTAACACACAATTCACCTTCGCCAATCTGTACCTTCCCAACAAAGGACAAAAACCATTTCTTAGGAAGACTCTCACAATGCTGGACTCCTTCAGCGAAGGCAAACTAATCCTAGACGGAGATTTCAATACACTGCTAGAACCTAGACTGGACACCTCCACGGGGCACTCGACCCTTCCAGGCCATGTACTCAGAGACATGAGAGCCACCCTACACAACTTCCAACTGTCAGACTGCTGGCACACCCTGCACCACTCAGAGAAAGACTACACATTCTACTCCCCACTCCATAACTCTTACTCATGCATTGACTACTTCTTCCTCTAACACCGCCACCTAGATGACCTCCTCTCAGCCATGATAGCCTCAATGTCCTGGTCAGATCATGCCCTGGTCATCATTACAACCACTTCACCAACCCCCTTCCAGAAACAATGGACCTGGAGACTCAATGAGTCACTGATAGAGGACCCCCTAATCCAATGAGAGGTGCAATCCCACATAGACCAATTTTTCCACGCAAACCCCACACCAGACTCAGACCTAGAAAAGATTTGTGAGGCACACAAATGTGTGGTCCAAGGCCTCCTGATTCGACATGGAGCGCATCGCAAAAAGAAACGCACACAGGAAACAGCCGACCTCTCACGGAAAGTGGCGAACCTGGAAAAGCAGCACAAATCCACATTAAGCGAAGACACATACAAGCAACTGGTCATGGCCAGGGCAGAACTGAACTCCCACCTTTCCCAAAAGATCGCCTTCTGATTCAGACAAGCCCAGAGAACCTTCTATGAATATGACAACAAAAGCGGCAAACTGCTGGCGAGGGCCCTGAGGAAAGCCAGACAAAAATGCTTTATCTCATCTTATCATATATGATGGAACCACCCAAAACACCCCTAAGTCGATTGTGGAAGGATTTCGGCTAAATTACGAATCCCTGTACAACCTCCACAACCACGGGGGACCCGGCCGCAACCAAACCCAATAGACAAAACATACACTTAGTCAAACTCACATCCAAGGCACAGGCGCGGCTCACACTATGGAAGAACCGATTACATCAGAGGAACTATCCCTGGTTCTGAAACTGGCCAAAAACTGGAAGAGCCCGGGCCCCGATTGTTTCACCATCAAATACTATAGAACCTACTATAAAACATTGCCTTCACACCTAATTGACATGCTCAATGCGATCAAGAACGGGGGGACCCTCGATCAGAACACTCTCAAAGTGCACATCATGGGGCTGCCTAAGGAAGGCAAAGACCCCACAGCATGCCCTTGTTACAGGCTAATCTCCCTGTTGAACGCTGACCTGAAACTCTTCGCAAAGGTTCTAGAGCACTACATTCAACCCATTCTACCAAAACTAATCCATCCGGACCAGGTGGGTGTGATGAGAGCAATCTCGCCACATTGCTTTGGAGAAGCCTGGTTGCTCTCCTGTTGCCTTTGGATTATGGCCCCATGTTAAAAGGCTTGATTTTCCCCTGCAAAGACAAGAAAGCCGGGTCATTTGGTGCTTGCCCTGTTTGAGCAGTGATACCCCAGATATCTATTCCATGGAGCCCATTCATCTAATGAAAGACTATGGGAAAGATTTTGGCTCCATGGCAATTGAACTGTATGTGTGTGCTCTGAGCGCTATTCAGTAATAATGTGCGCTCAGACCTAAGCTATCTGGGCATATGTTACATGTCTGTATTTTATGTCATAAAGGTAACCTTGTGTATTTTGTTGTATTTTACTGTCTTTGTGCTGCCATGTGTTCAATGGAGTTTTGCCTCTGTCTTTGGAGATAATTGGATTAATTCTAATTATCTCCAGGATAGAAGACTCTGTGGAACTGGATTTGGGCAGAAAAGCCATGCTTCCTGTGGTCACAAAGGACTACGATCTATCTTTTGAACCACTGGACCAATTTGTATGATTTGGCGTATGTTTGTATTTGGCGTATGCTGATTCTGAAAATTTAAGTTATGTGAATGTGATGCATACTTTTCAAGTTATGAATAATGTGAAAAAATTGTATTTCTCTGCTTGTGCTAAATTACATTACCCATTGTGTAAGGTAATTGAATCACATGCAGAGGGGAGGAATTTGTGTGGGAGTGTCTGAGTGTGTTTATTGGTTGTGTTCCAAAACCCTGTGGGTGGTACTAATGTGTAAGAATGTGTACATAAGCACAATAAACCCACAGCTCTGTCTGTTCACTGCTTGACCCTCAACACAGAGCTTTGTCTCGTCTTTGGGGGGATTTACTGAATGCTGATAGAGACTGATTGCTAGGAGTATAAGCCGCTTGGATGCTTTTCCTATTCGTGTGCTAGCAGCGATTCATATGGTTCCTGTTCGTGTGTTTGGAGTGCTGTATTGGATGCCGTTCGGGAGTTTGGAGCATTCACTTATTGGCGTTTCGTGTGTTTGGTGTTCTACAATAGCTGCGCCTGCATCTCTGGAAAGGGGGATGATCGCCTAAACGGTTTTTACCCCTTGTGTGCAAAACAGTCTGTTACAGTGGGGTTTTTCAAAAACAGAGAAGCCACAGACAATACCACCAAAGTTATCAACCTGATACACGTGGCCTGGACTGGACCATTGCCCGCACTCCTAATATCCACCGACACGGAGAAGGCGTTTGACGGGGTAGACTGGACTTTCCTGTTTGCGACGTTACAACAACTGGGATTCGGCCCAAACATCCCACTGTCCAGCGCGTTCATGCCTCCTCTCACCTCTGCTATTTGTGCTAAGCCTGGAACCTTTCCAAAACGAGGTCCCAAAATGACTGTACATTAGGGGCATAAAAGGCAAATGGGAGGAAAGGAAAATATCTGCCTATGACGGCGACCTGCTGTTCACAGTCCAAGGCCCACAATCTTCACTCCCAGCCATCATACAGAAATTCGAAGACTACAGCACTCTCTCTAACCTTCGAATCAATTATACAAAATCTGAGATCTTGCATCTTGGCTGTGACCATGCCCTAAAAGCGCAATTCCCGTTCCATTGGTGTAAAGACGCGATCAAATATCTAGACGTATGGCTCATCGTCGATCTATCTCGCTTGTTCAGACATAATTTCCCTTTCCTCTTAGGACGCGTACTCAGAGACCTAACGGACTGGGATGTACTGCACATCACCTGGCTTGGATGAGTAAACATTCTTAAAATGAATGTCCTACCATGCTCCTTATAAAAGCTACAGACACTCCCGATCCACGTGCCCCAGACCTTTCTAGGCCAGATACGCAAAGCCTTCACGACATATGTATGGCAAAATTGAACAGCCAGGATAAAGTATGACATTCTCACAAAACCTAAACCACAGGGCGGGCTGGGACTACCAGATCTGGTTAAATACCGCCAAACTATCCACCTACAACTCATCACCGAATGGACTATAGGAACAGAGGACAAGCTCTGGATCGCCATAGAGGCCAGCTTCTCAACACTACCACTAAACACACTCCCATGGAAACCACCACAAAAGACAACGGGATATGAGAGGAGGCACCCCACAATAGCTGCCACCCTGGTGGTCTGGAAACCCCCTATCAGGCAAACCGGACCTCGCTCCTCCAGTATCTCCCCTGTACCACATCACGGGCTACACATTGTTCCACATGGTTAACAGCAACACGATCATGATTGCGCAGATACATTTCTTTACTCAAAAGACACAAACCTCACAAGCCATGTGGTCGACTAAGTGGCTGCCAGAAGAATTCAAAGAACTGCAGCTATCTCTGTTTTGTCTTTATGCTGTATCGGAGAGAGTTATTGCCAGTAACTTTAACTCACACCTTATCATATTACAGAATGGAGTCACAAAAGTAGTCACCACACTGGAAGAGGGAAACATAGAAACATAGAAACATAGAATGTGACGGCAGATAAGAACCATTCGGCCCATCTAGTCTGCCCAATTTTCTAAATACTTTCATTAGTCCCTAGTCTTATCTTATAGTTAGGATAGCCTTATGCCTATCCCACTCATGCTAAAACAACTATTAACCAACTATGATATTCCAGAAAGCCAAATTCTACAAAGCTGATGACTGACTGAAAAGGTGGCAACACCAGGATCCAGATCAGCAAAAGACAACCTGATTCATTGGGAATTGTGCGCCAAATGGTGGCAGGAGACTTGCAGATGGAGTCACAGAGGCAGAACCGTTTAGTCCCTGAGGCAATCAAGGAATCAGGTCTATATTTATTCAATAGCCTAATACGGTTTGCCTTCCATCTACATTATATATTTGTTTATGTATAATTAATTTGTTTATATAACATTTGGTTCATCTCCTGGGTAAGTGCACACAAACCTAGAAGTTGCAACTGGAAAGATGAAATTAAATAAAACCCGCTCTAGCTGCACTACTGTACCATATAAGTTGATTGCTGTTAATTCTTTTGATGACAATTTTTTGACGAATGATTAATACCCCAAGCACCTCATGGTATAGGTTTAGATGGTCTCAATCGGCCAGGCAAGGTACAACCCACCATGTGTACTGATCAACCTCAATGTTTAAGCAACATATGTTCCATTTGCAGGTCCCTGATGTATACCTGGAGTAGACCCAGGATTTTCTAATACCCTGTATTATAATTAATTTCATTCTTAGATAATTTATTTTTTGTCCCCCCTTCTACTCAAGTTAGACATTCACAGATCCAATTAACCCTTCCCACAATATGCAAAGGTTTATTACAGGTTGCACATACTAGGGTCTCTGGAAATAATCCTTCTTATGAGATATGCCCAACACAATCTTGGTTTGAATATGTTGGGGCAAGATTTGATGAATAGGTTTAAAGAAGGAGCTACAAATGATTACTTGGACAGTGATAGAGGCTAGGCTCCAGAAAACTATATGGTTAAATGTTTTAAAGATAATCCATGGAGACCATAATACTATCTCTAAATGCATGGGAATTACATTTATTGCATAAGAGGAAACTATTGTTAGAAGATGCCAAAAGGTGGGAGCCCATATAATTTGTTTGCAGTAAACCCACTTCGCTAAAGGCAAAATACCCTACTTTGCACATAAAAACTATATAATATAATAAAGATATGGAATAATCAAATATTCAACTCCCTTTTAGCCTATACTCCTCAGTAATGAGTACTATAACCCTGTAAGAGAGTGACCCTAAACTGCACTTCAATATCATAGCCCACCAAAGTATTGAACAAGATACATTTTATTCACAACATATATAATTCTGAATACAGCATAATTAAACTGCTAACATATAAAGTGCTCAACAGTACAATATGCATAACCACAACAGCCCACAACCACATTAATAAGAAAAAAAGTGTTGCTCAAATAAAAAATAAGATATTTGAGTGATAGTACACCAAAGTATTGCACAAGATAAATTTTATTCACATCATATGTTGGAAGGCCATTTGGCCTGAATTTGTGGGAGGAGTTATGATCCTATTTTAACCCTACCCCCCTACTTACCTTTGTTGTGCAAGCTGTTTGTCTTCTCCATAGCAACTACCACTTCCGGTCCCTTGTTCCTGCCAGAATCCAGTCTCCAGCAAACAGTCCATCACCGGCAGCTCCTGCCTCCATCCTCTGTGCCCGTCAACCGGCTTCTATCCTTCCTCGATCGCTACTCGACTTCCGGTCACGAGACCGGCACGTCCACGTAAGCTTAATGTGGGAAATACCGTTCGGCTATTTCCTAAATTTCGGGCCTAAAAACGCGGGGATAGGCTCCCTTTTATTTTTAGTATTATACGTACCCGTTTGTGCACTTTTCTCTGTTCGTGTACTTCTGTGTTCGTACGGCTAACAGCCAATCGCAGAGTAAACACTCCTTCGTTATATTCGTTTAAATATCTACCGACTGCACTATATTTACTTACGTTCATTTGTCCGTTCGCATGTCAATACAGCCAAACACACTTAAACGGCTCTTGTTCTGTTTTCACATGCTCAATTAACCGACCACAGGTCGGTCCCGTTTATATTCCCCTCGTTCGTTCATTTAGCCGAACGCAGGAGGCTTCATACGTTTTAATTTTCACAAACTGTCATAAATTATACCTTTGTCATGTCATTTACCTATAACAATAGCACTCACCCCTTTCTCAATTCTTTACCTTACATAAATTTACGTGTAGTACATGGCTCTCCAGTCACCACTAGATATAATGACAATATCACTGTGGCACTACTTCCCGTCCTATAGATTAAATTTAATTACGGGCCATTAATTTATTCCGCGGAATCTTCTTAAAAGACCCTGTTCAGCATAATTAATTTGTTTCGGCAAGCTAAATACAACCCCAAGCACCACTACCGCTCCCTACATCTTTTCTTAGTTTATCATGTCTTTAATTAAGCTTTACGTCCTTTTTCACCAGGCTCGTTACAGACCATTAGCACAATTTAGCAAATCTCTGTCTCCAAAAAACATTATACTCTGGTTCCTTATACTTAGAATTCATAGAAGAGGTACCCGGTATCCCGCATTTTGGTAACAGGTAAGAAGGTTTGCCATTTTACGTTTTCCCTTGAGGCCTCATTCAGCCTCCACGGCCTCATACAGCCCCTCACATCCTAAAGTGGGTTCTAAACTTCAAAACGTACCTGGTCTAAGATTCCTCTCAAAACAATCTCATAATCATAATCCACCGTATTAATATATTTAATGGTACACGTTTTGTCATTCATTTCTACATATCATTACTTAGACCTGTGTCATTACCGCAGCTCGCCAAGTCCTACACCATTGACAACCTACAGGCTACCTGGTTCCCTACATTGCAGTATCAGGTATTGGTAATCTTACTCACTATGATTACATTTCTCCTTAAGGCCTCACTTCGCCTTCGTATCATTCAAAAAATTCACATTTGTGGAAACCCAGGGGCTTGTCTCTAATTTACGGACCAACGTTCAGGTCCCTCCGCTTACCCACGTTCTTACGTTACAGTATCTCTGATACACACCTGTTATGGGCAAATGCAAATATTACAAGTTTTAGAATGAAATGTTGTATTTCTTAAAATATGTACTTTGTCTTTAAGAGATATTGCAAATTGACAAGGTGTTAGAAATGGAACATATTGTTTTTCATAGATGTTTCTATAAGCAATAACCTCAGTGCATAATATGTTTGCGCCATTGTGTCCCAGACGAATTACAATAACAATAATGCATAAACAAGCTTCAAGGCTATACTACAACTCTTTCAGTACACAATATACTGTGGTAACCCCAAGTTAATGGAACTTCCCCAAATCCGGGAATCTCCCACAACTGTGCACTTACGACTTAGTATAAACAACAGATAAGCTATTCAGACTTTAAGATGCCATCTTGAACTAAGTCAGGAAAATTTCCATGACGTATGCACCCTTTAGTTATGGCCTTGTATGTTTGCCAAATTAAGGGAGGTCCTAAAATGAATATAGTAAAAGAAGTGTTACTTTTTCATATATGAACTACAGTGACCCTAAAATGAAGACACCTAAGGTATAAATAGGTGTACTTTTAAATGTTAAGGAACAGAGGAGAGACTTGGAGACAGACGCTGCTCCATCTTAAAATGACAGAGAGGCTGACATAATGACATGTTCAGAAGGGTATGTTAACCTATTAATGATATTTGCAAGCATTTAAGTTAATATTATAAACTCTGCTATAATGGATTTTATATGTCTATATTTATATTTTTATATAATAAATATCCAAAAAGACAAAACTATTGCTTCCAAGACAATCCTTATTTTATATTGTATTCTCAATTATTTATATATTTTAAATAGAGGATCTCTTACACTAACTATATAAAATTATGGTTAAGATATTTGTATGGTTAGCCCTACTAAGTTCTATGCTTTAAGACATTATAGTGGTAAATAAGGGAACCACCTGCGGTTACACACCTACCCATACGTTCTACATTTTCACACTCTTTATACCAGTGGCACGACTCAGGCCCACTAGCATCTTTTTCCCCTAAGGTTTCCCGGACTGGGCCGATTCCCTGCCGAAGCAAGAATATATTGTAATCTTCCTGCGCATTGCCCAAAGAAAGAGGACAAACACTCAAGGTTAAGTATCTACATACGTTATATCACACCATTCTAAGAGACAAGCCCCATCAGGATAGAGAACTTGCATTGAGGGTTAGGCGCTGGCCTTAGCTATCCTAAGTAATACTACGGTTCCGCGAGGTCTACACCCCACCTCATACATGGAGGTTTAGCCCCACGACCAAATCATAATTAGCCACCTCACTCACCCTTCTTTAGGGCTACAGTTAGGGCTTCCCAAGTCACGGCCACATGTTTTGAATCTCTTACGGTCACCGAGAGGCCGACATCCTGCCACCACATTCAAGTGGCCACAAAACTCCCTCGGCCCAAATCATAGGTAGAGCCTCTCTCCGCCACTTGGCACTTGCAGGGCCTCACCTGTCACTTGGTTCTAGGTAAATTCTTCGCCTCAGCACTAGCTAACAGGCCAGTTCTCCGAAGGTCTCTTCCATACTTCTAAGATACATTACTTATCTAAATCATTATTTCTTTTTCAGAATGTCACAAGAATCCATCCCAATAATCGGTCTGCTGTTGGACGAAATACCCAGCACGCCAGTCAAGCCTGGGTCTCCAAATGAATCCCTCACTCCTTCTGCCCTCGGTTACCTGGGATTCTGGTACATTCAAAAAATGTCAGCAGAGCTCAGACATAGGGGTATCCTCTCCCCAGCCACTGCCAGTAAGGCAGAACTACACAGGCTCACGACGGCTCAGGCCAACGTCCCCAGGCCCGGCTCTAGTTCACAAGGGCTGACAGCTTACTCCTCAGTTTCCAAACAGGAGACCCCGGTCGCCATCCCGGCCAGCCTCCAAACGATCAACAGGCTGATAAGTGGAATAGGCTATAGCCACTCCAGGTGTCTCGTTAAGCTCGGCAGGCCCTCACCTGGCAATCTCGGTCATACAGTCTGGCTTACCCCTCATTTCCCTCCCTGTCCCCCATCACCCACTATCACTACTCCATACGTCTCACCGGCCCACTCTGTTCCAATTTCCATGGAGAAGGAAATTCTCTATGGAAAGGACGTTAAACTAACATCACTACTTAACTTCCCAAGACACCACTACAGTACAAATGTTATATTCATGTTGACATTTCTGTAGTCCTAAAGAGTGAGACCCACAACTTAACAAAGCTTTCCATTCCTCTGTTTATCATTGCCTCTCGCATAGAGACAGCCACTTCCACTTCTCACCACTCCTTCACCCCATGCACTAGACAGGGAAGTGGCCAGAGGGACAAGCTGGGCTGACCATTTTATTCTGGGGAAGGCTCGGGTGCACTATCACTTTAATACTGGGGTATGCTATTTCACTACATACAGGGTTTTGCACATCTGCTCCAGAACTCACACCTAGTCCACATATGCAGTCCGTCTGTCACCTAAGATAGCCCAACTAAGGTTAACATTGATATCCTGGAATACTATCTGCATTTACACCCAGCTAGGCATCTGGTAGATTCTGGTGCCGGGCTTCTCACAGGGGTTTCACACGGGCCCTATCGCCATTTCCACAGGTACACTTGTATGCCCTAACCTATTATCTGCATCCATTGACCCTCTTACGGTGGACCACCTTCTGCCCACAGCAATCATACGCTGGTTTCACGATTGCCTCTTTTCGGTCTTCACACTTCTCATGCACCTTGCTTACTAACCTGCAACTGTCATTCAAAACAACAAAACTAAGTCCTCACTGAAAACTTTTCTAACAACTTACTTTTCTACCCTACCCTTACTTTGTATCTTACTTTTTGAATGTAAGCCCATTTAAGCAGGGTCATTAACGCCATCGTTCCTGTGCCTCCAATTTGTCTGATTACTTGACTTTTAGTCCACCATTGTACAGTACTGTAGAATTTGTTGGCACTTTATAAATATTAATAAGAAAAATAAAGTGTCACTCAGATAAAAAAAAACGATAACTGAGTGATAGCACACCAAGTTTTACACAAGATACATTTTAAATACAACATGTATTATCATTAATACAGCATAATAACATATGCAGTGTTAAGTGATAGTCAGCTCTTGGTCAGAATTGGGGTTCCATTC